GGGGGGGGGCATATTAGTGAAATGTAAAGTGGCCTTAAAGAGGCCAGTTTAAGCCCTAGATCAAATAGAAGGCAGGTTGGGGAAGAAAACTGAATGATGTGGCATCAGAGTGTGCATTCTGCCCCAGCTGATTTTTTACATTTTTTTAATGTTAAATTTAACAGCATTCATTTAAGTTGCATCCTAGTATGTGCCAGACACTTCCTGTATTCATTTCTAATCCTCACTACATTACTACAAGGTAGGTACTGTTATCACCATTTTACTGTTGTTGAGTGCCACCAATTTGATTCCGAGTAATGGCAACCCTGTATAGGGTTTCCAAGGAACAGCTGATGAGTTTGAATCACCGACCATGTGGTTCAAACCGACCTCTGGTCCAGTGCTTTATCATATCAGATTGTTGTTGTTAAGTGCCATCGAGTCGATTCTGACCCATAGCGACCCTGTATAGGATTTCCAAGGAGCAGCTGGTGAGCTTGAACCACCGACCTTACAGTTCAAATGACTTTCCAGTCTGGCGCATTAGCCCACAGCACCACACCAGGACTTAGAGAAGTAGAACTCAGGGGCAATAGATCGCTTGCCCAGATTCACAGAGCTGTAACCAGCTGTGGCAGCATCCAATGTCCATGCTTCTCCCAGGGTTTGCTATGTTTGCCTCCCACAGTTTGTCACCTAGAACACGCTTTCTAAAACTCAGATTGTAGCCTGTTGGTTTTATTGTATCCATTAGTAGCAATTATGATATTTACCCTGGCACATTAAAATGTAACTCTCTTCATGACTTATTTCTTCTAAGGAAAGGAATTGGCACAGCTCAGAAATTGAAACAAAATCCACTGCCATTAAGTCCATCCCAACTCACAGGGACCCCATAGTCCAGAGAAGAACTGCCCGAGGAGTGGCTGGTAGATTCAAACTCCTAACCTTTTTGTTAGTAGCCAGGTGCTTTAATCACTACACCACCAGGGCTCCTGATTAGCAGTTGTTTGTGTTGTT